GGGGTCAGTTTCATCCTGGTTACGACTCGCGTACATCGTCTACGTACTTCATTGGTCCACCCGGTTCCTTGTAGGTTCGCTCGGTCACGATTCGTTCGCTGGACGACCCGCTTGTCTGGGACCCATGCTGCTCGAGAAACAGAGCAAAGTTACGGTCGTTGGTGGAGACCAAGGTACAGAAAGCTTGGCAGCAGTGATGAAAAAATCACTGCGTAGAATGGGTTTGCTTGGCCGTTGCGACGCGAAGCTCAACGCCAGCACGTTGAAGGCCTCGCAGCGTTGTGGTTCAGCCAACATCCCGGGTTGGACGCAATGCTCGAGGCTGTCTGGATACATAGAGAAGCTGTGCAAGACACTTGTCCGCCAGCTGCCATGTATACTGAGCTGAAATGGCTCCACTGGGACCAAGACTAATGCCTAGCAGGTGGAAAATCCCTTTCGCGCCATGGACAAGGAGCAGGCGGGTCGGTGAATACGTCCGTCAAAATGCATTCAACTTGTCGTCTTGCAACTCATGAGTTGCAAGACGATAAGTTGAGTGTCCGGAAAGCCACTTTAACCTGTAAAAAACAAGGTTTTTTGACCCTCGGTGCGTTGCGTCCGGGGCTAACCCCCCCCGTTTACCCAACATGTTGCACCTCAAAAACGGTAGTGCCGCAGGCTTTCGAGCGCTACGATTCGATGATCCCAAAAAGGACGGCGCCACTGCGATGCTTTGGATGTGATGTGACCGTTTTGTTCAGGGAAAGCCCCAACGGAACACACCTCCCAGAAGGAACAACCCACATACCGAGGTTGAAGAACCTGAAAAAGACTATCCCAGTTGGGTACCCCAGGTGACGGCCCCTTTTTTTTGGTCAGGTCACTGTTCTTACCTCTCTTGGTACCCACGGCTTGCCGCCGCTCGACTGTGGGGCACGACGCTTGATGGACCGCCTCAGGCCTAGACCTGGCAGGGAGGGAGCTGAACACCTTGATGTGCAAGCTCCTCGCGATGGAGGCCGCATTTGGAGTGGGCATCCAGCTTTGGGGCTTGGATGGTCTGTAAAACCCGATGTTTCAATCTAGACACGTCCTTTTTTAAAGGTTTGGAAGCTGCGGGGTATATATGCTTGGCGATCACGCGAGCTCGGCAAGTTGGGAAGGGAGGTGAAGTTGGAGGGGGATGGAGGGATTCCTCTGCCAGCTCGAACATGTGTGTTTGTCCTGAAGAAGACACGCTGTTGTTACAAGGAGAGATGTTCAAGTCATGATTTTTTAAAATTTTTCTGATGGTTGAATGGAAGGCTAGAGGAGAGACTTGAGATGATGCTTCCTCTAAGTTGGTGAAACACCTCGCCTGGAAAATCTGGTAACATACCTCAGATAGATGTCCAGTCACGCATTCCAAGGCGACTCAGAAACATTTGTTCTTTTCTTCGCCCGGCTCAACTTCTCTGCCCCCAGCCTCCCAGCCTCCCAAAACCATTTGTTCTAACCATTGAACTTCTCACCAGAATCCGAGTCCGGGCCCTCCCTGGCAGGGCTCGGAACCGAAACTCCACCGCAAATGCAGGGCGTGACCCGGACGGACCCGGTGTTTCACCCTTTTTCGCCGAACGGAACGGGCGGAACGGGCCCGTGTGGCGGAAGGGGCATTAAGAGACGTTGGAACTGGTCAAATCGAGGCTCATACGGCTCGCTGTTCTTCCTCCAGCGTCGGGGTGGTCATGGTAGGTCAGGTCGGTAGGTCCACCGAACATCGGGTGGAGCGAACACTTCTTGATCCAGGATCCCAACACAGTGGTTCAGTGGTTTCGGAGTAGATGGCAGAGTCTCCAAAAGATGGTAAACCATGGACACCCATCTAAAGTAATCTGGGGTTTTTGCGCCATCTACTCTGAAATCACTGTAAACTTAACACCATGAAGATTGCTAAGCATGCTTGGCTGAGGCTTGAGGAAGGTACAAGGCATGTCAAGACGAGTGCTTATCTGAAACACCAAGGATTTGCTCTGCTGCGTATATAGTATACATATTTGATTCTTCCATGGTTTCTGGACTTCAACATTTGAGACCCTACTCACAACCCCATTTGTGACCCAATCTCCTCCAAACCCTTGAGGTTCAGGGGTTCTGGCATAGGAACATCACAGTTTTCATGTTATAATCCAATTCTTGGCTTGGATTTACGCACGCACTTGGCGTGGAAAACGGCCAAACTGGACAGAGGACGCAGTTTCCACGTGTCAAACGTTGTTTTTCGCCCGCTTTTTCCGCGCAGGGGAAGTGCCGCTTGACGACCACTGAACAGCAGTGCGCAGCACGGCAAATGAAGGCCCGGGCCAGACTGGCGGAGGGTTGACATTTGGATCGCCCCAGTTGTTGAGACATTTCTCCAACATGAATACCATCGCGGAGCGTCTGGGGGTTCTACCGCTCCCCGCGTTCCCGACCGATGGATTCATCAAACACGGTTCCGTGTTGAGCAGAACTGGGTACCCGGTACCTTGACTCGAGTTCTTTTGATGTTTTGGTCTGAAATGGGGCGTGTATTGATGTAATGTTAGTATGTACATCATGTATGAAATTACTACATAATAAGACTATCTAACATGTTACACATATCGACGACAATCCATTTTTGAGGTCGTTTATCGTGAGACGGATTCAATTGTACATAGTGGGTGCCATACTTGGCTTTTCGTGGGCAACCCTCCTCATGCAGAGGTTCTGGGACAGATACTCTTCCATGTTCCAAGGAAAGTAGACCCAGCAGAAGTTCTTCCAACTGTGCCGAAGTTCTGCCTTTATATATATATATATAAATTCAGCTCAAAGGCCGACGTTTCGCACATTTGGAAGATCTAGGCATGACAGATCTCTCTTTGCTTGAGGAAGGTACTAGCAATGGCGGGATTGCCAGTGCGGCCCGCCTGGTACGCTTTGACCAGTGACTTTCATACCATCCCAAGTATCACGTGAAGGTCCTGTGAAGGCATGTCTCTGTTCCCAAATCTTGGATTCTTAGACTTCCTTTGGGCCACTGGAGAACAACAACTTCAGACTCCTCTTGGTGTCCTTGGAATGTCTCTTTTTTCCTGTGCTCCTACCGCAGCTTCGGCGAACTTGCCATTGGCTTGGCTTCGCGCGGACCAACTCCGCCACGCCAGGAAGACCTTTGTTACATCGCCCAGGATCCCTCCAGCGAGTCACTTTCCCTCCTGAGTCGGAGATGGACTGTTCTTGTGGCGATGTTTCTGGAAATTGGGAAGCAGAACAAATTGGGAACTCTTGACGGCAGTAGCTGTGGTTTGCTTTGAACCTGGCTGGGTGTGTTTGCGTATATCGTTTTGTGATGAACAAACTAAGACATGGTTAGACATGGTAAGACTAAGGGACCTCACCGGGAATGGGAGGGTGACCAGATCGTTCACATTCAGTTTTGACCGTATGAGCCAACAATGAGCCAGCCGGATGACTTCACCTCCACCGGCCGAAAGGGCCCTGGACACCTCCATCCTTTGCTACCCTGATCCTTGGGGCGCGCTGCGCCACAAATCCCCAACTGAAGATCCTCCAAGTGAGCAACCTCTCTGGACCAGTTCCTAATCTGTGACTCTGACATGTGAAGATCTACTTCTGACATGCGATTCAGATCTGCCACGTTCTTTTAACATGTAAAGACCATGCCATTGGAGTGGAGGAGTCCAAATCTGATCCAATCCTCTCCAGGGTCGGAAAAAAAACCCACCAATCCGAAAGCCGTTCCACCCTCCGAATCCGAGTCCGGGCCCAACACCGCAGGAATTGGACCTTTGAAAAACCGATCTTTGGGGAAATCAGAGACCCCTCTGCACCAACCCGACCCCCATGCGTTGCGGTGCGGTTCGGAACGGGCCTGGATGCTTCTAGTGTATGTATGAATTCGACCAAACCATAGAGCCGCCCAGTCTTCGCCTCCGCCGGTCGGCCGCCCCGAGGGTGGCGGAGTTCGCCGACTTCTCGCTGCCCAACTCGGGGCCCACGCTCCAGCGCCTCGGAGTTCGCGCTTCCGTGGCCGGGGGAAAGCGGTGGTGGGGCGCGAGGGGCGCGGAAAGCCTGAAAGACTGAGGGGGTGCGGTGCCCCTCGGGCCCTTGAGTGAGGAGCGACCAAATATTTTTAAGAGTTTTGAGAGGTATATGGTTATTACTAAGAAGCTTGAAAGACCAAAAAGGCTTCGTGTTACAGGTGAAACGATTCCCAGTGAAACGATTCCCAAGGAAGCTTCCTTCTTACGAGGAATCTTAAGACTTTGAGTGAAGGGAATGAGTTTTGAGTTAAGAAGAGGTGCAAGGCAGGTTGACATGCCCCCAAAACCGAAGCAGTTCGTGACTCGTGACCTTGAATTGGTTTGCCTCTGAACGTATAGAATCTCGACTCTTGATTTGATTAGTAACGCCCCTATATGAAGAGGTTTCTACCAGAGAAGGAGGTCCAAGGGGTCCGGGGGTATAGATCTTCCAACTCTGCAACATGTCTGCTCCATCAAACCTGCCCCACTTCGGCAGACATGTTGCACAGTGGAAACCTCTAGGAACCCTCTAGGCCAAGGATGGAGCCTCAGGCCGTATTTGGTGTCGACCGTTCATCCTGTCCCATCCTGGCTCGCCGGGAACGGTAGATCCGGTCGAGCTCAGCTTGGGGTTGCCAGCCCAGAAGGCCAAGAAGGCCAAGAAGGCCAAGAATGGATTCCAGCCCGTGGCGGAAGTACTTTTGAGGTGTGTTCCAGCTGGGGAAGTGGGGTGACAACATATTAAGGGCTTCTCACTTTACTACTATACTTAGAATTGCGTCATTGATCCCCACCACGTATCCACCTAAGAAGCCCTACAGGATACGGGGTTTCTTCCACCCCCCTTCTTTCCAAAGGCATTCCAAAGCTCGCTGTTTTCGCTCAGCTTCGTCAGCATGTCCTCCGGCTCTCCGCGCTTCTCCACGGCCGTTCGCCGCCGGGGCCTACGCCGAGGCTGCAAGACGAGCGCTGGAAATGCCCCGAGGCGCTGTTCAATCCCTCGCTTGTGGGCCTTGCCGCTGGGCGAAGAAAGACATGGCACCCGGTCGGAAAAGGAGAAAAGACCGACGGACGGACGTGTCCTGACGTGTGGAAACGGGCGGAATTTCACCCCCCCGTTCGGAAGGTTCGGAACGACTGCAGTCTGACAGTCTGACAGTCCATTTTGGTTGGGAGGTCCCCTCCCCAATTGAAATACACACGTTTCATGTTTTTCTTCAGCGGATGAAGTTGCCAGAAGCCTTTGATGCCTGTTTCCAGAGAGGTTTTCAGTTTGAGAGTTCCACGATGCCTTCAAGGACGTGTGGCGCTGACAAGACCACTGTCCTAAAGAAGCGGGTGCCAGGATGCATGCTCCGGTACAGTATCCCAAACCTCTTCCTTTATGATCAGTCAGGTGATTAGACCTCTGAGTGGCTGACATGGATGTGGAATTTGATCCTCCCAACCCTTCATACCCCTCGAAAGAACTCCTCCGAAACATGGAGCAGCGGATGACAGCTTTTTGCCTTTTCCTCCGGGGCCACTCCTGGGCGCGCCACGTAGTGCGCATGTTGTGATCCTTTGGTTGCGGATGTGGTGGGGGTTCTCCCACCTGGGAGGTTTCCGGGAGGTGGTTTTTCTCCTTCCAAATTCCCCACAGCTGAGGAGTGCACCGGAGTTGCAGGAATGGTTTGGGATAGCCCCTTGGCTGCCTGGGATGATTTCGCTTTTAAGAGGAGACTTCTGGAGACCCCAAAACCGCGGTCTGTTGTTGGGAATGTGGGGATAAGCCAACACCAGGAGGACCCCCAGTCAACCACCCCAAGTGATTGGCAAATATGGCACTCCCATGGGTCGTGTCTGGGACAAATTCATGGATCACCCCGAATCAATCGTTGGTCAGAACCGACTCCCTCAGTTTCCCTGACAAGCAGTACCAGGACCCTCCGTTCGGGGTGTCTATTGATAGCCCCTTAGCTGTGATTCGGGGTGTCCATTAACCACCCCATGGGGGGTCCTGGTAGATGTTGTTGTTCTATGAGTTCCTGTTCAGTGGGGTGTCCCCAAAGGCGTTGCAGCTTGTCGACGTTATTTGGGTAGAAGATGTCCCTGAGGTCCTTAAGGACTCTGTCGTCCAACAGCTCGGACACCGTCAAAACCTCCACGCTTGAACCCCCCCATCCAATGAAGAGGAGGATTGCGGATACCTGGACCATCCTGTCTGCTGGGCCTGTCTGGAGATGCCAGATAGTAGTGCAGGGTGGTCCAGTGGCTGGACACCCAGGTCCAGTGGCTGGACACCCAGGTCCAGGATGGTCCCTGGTAGTGTGCAGTTGTCTCAAACTATCCGCACCTTGTCAAATCGGAAGAAGACGGCCGGTGCTTGGAACCACATACGCACGTTGTGGGCGGTTAATCACTTGATCTGCAAAATGTGCCTGCAGCTCTTCCACTGATCAACCTATAAACCTCGGTCACTCACCACTTACTTTGTAAATGGACTGAGAGCCAGCGTCTATTTTTTTGTTCTTTCGGAATACTCGCGGAATCTCGGTGACAATCACCAGTGCCCTTGGTCACCTTCACCTGATGCTAATCACTAACCGACTTATCCCAGGACCGGTGTCCCTCTAAGCTTAGAGGATCAGGGGTGTTCCCAAAACCACCGGGCGGAACGAGGTCGGTCATAAGTGAAGGTCTTGGACTAGCAGGTCTGCAAATGGAGGTCTTGAACTAGCAAGTCCAGGATAAACCCAAGGTCTACAGGTGTCCACAGGTGGGCTCAGATGATTTTTGATGTTTGGAACTTCACGTCTGGGAAGCCAAGAAACCGCATCAGAACATCTGCTATGCCCAGGGTGTGTTCCGGTAAACCAGTACCAGTCGGTAAACGAGTATCACTATATTTTGAGAAAGGCCTGCAAACCTAAGTAAATCATCCACTGGGTGCTGGGTGTCTGTGATATTCTCAAACTATGCTCATGTTGTTTAGAACATAAAGGCACGTGTTGAAGGCCCGAACAAAACCTGACACTTGCCAGCCTCGCTGCACCTGCCAGCCTCGCTGGTGCTTTTGGAACGCCGACAGCCTGCAAGTGACGCAAGCAAGCAGCGTGTAGCGTGTTCCTTCGTCTGCGCATGAACCTGGAGCGCAGAAACACACACACACACCCGTCTTCGCAGATGTGAGGCATCAGCAGATGTGAGGTGGACATCCGCAAGACGCTTCTGGGAAATGTGGTCCTGTCCGGAGGCGACCGGCCATGGGAAGGAGAAATGCTCGTTGCGTCCGCGCTCGGTTCGGGAGATCTCTTCCGATCGGTGCCGTTTGCGAGTGGGTTTGGGTGCGCGAGGGCGTCAAAGAGGACGAAGAGAGTGTGTGATCTCTTCACATCGACCTGGGGGCTGTTTCACTCCGGAGCCAGTTCATTCTGAAAGATCTCTTGCATAAGACTTGAGCAATTTTTGCAAGTGTGCATTTCTTGTGGCCCGGTCGTGTGTATCGAATGAACTATATCACTATATATGATACTGCATCACGACAGTTTCTCAATGATTTTTTTTGCGGGTAAGTTTTTCTAAAGTTGGATTCCATACTGGACATCTGCAGGACAGGCAAACTCCAAAATTTCTTAACTGATATCACAGCCGGATGCGTTTCCAGGTTCCCTCATGGCCATCTCCTTAATTAGGGTGTCAGGTCTGACATTGTTCTTGGAATCTTGAACTTTTGGATCAGACATGTTGAATCTGGTGCTGCCTGGTGGTCTGCCCGATGGTCCCGTGTACCCCGTGGTTTTTTTCCGTCCAGCGACTGGTCCCTCAAAACCTAGGGGTTTGAGACCGCAGACCTCTCTCTCTCCAGAGGATTCGGGGCCGAGTTCAGGTTATACATCTGGGCAGTGATGATTTTTGTTTGACTTTTTCTTCCAGAGGAATCGGAATTTCCGACACTCAACCATCGTTGAAGTCTTGGTGCTTTGGGCCATTTTGGGCCCCCTCCGGCTTGGACGGGTGGTGATTCTGGCCATGGCCATTGGCGTTGGGAGGGTGACGCTGGGCCGACGTTGGTACCATGGTCATTGTCATAGATGTCGAACCCCTACAGGTCCAGTCCGACAGACGTCCAAACCTGGTCCTGAAAAACATCATTGAGTCATTGAGTGGTGTTTTAGATATGACCAACTCCAGTGAACAAGTCTTTCATGAGGTCTTCGTCCTTGTCTTTGAGTGTTTTTTTGTATGCCCAACTCCAGTTTGACAATGTCGTGACCTGTGAACGGAAGGTTTTTCAGCAGATGTTCTTCAGTTCTCACAGGATGTTCTTCAGCTAAGATCATGGGACAACTCTGGAGGTGTTCACGGACCGGACCGCTCAATCCAAATCGGTCCATAAGATTTGCAGATGCACAGCTTGCAGCTTTCTACCACCCCTGCAGAGGACCACACAGAACCCCAAAACCACTGGGTTGTAGAGGAACAGATAGAGTCGAAACCATGGGTCAATTCTCAGATTCCATGTTCGTTTTTGAGGGTGGATTTGCTTTTTCCATCGTTTTTTTGTCCTTGCTCTGCCAGGTTGCACCATGTTCCCAGGATTTAGTCACTTGGCAGGTCGTGAGATCGAGATCGAACCGCAGCGAAGCATTTCAAGGACAAACATGACCCTCCATCCAACAAACATGGAAGTGGAACGTGACCCCTTGGAAGGCTGTGTTCCTCTACGAAGGAAGTGCGAACTCCACTTCGATTCTTGGAGAGGGTAACACCAAACTGACACTGAGACAACAACCGTTAACCCCGAAAAAATCGTCGCCGTGGACGAAGCAAAAAGGGTCGGTCTGACATGGTCTGACTCGACATGTCCGGAAACCTTGGAGGTTTTTGGGCCGAAAGTGGTTGAGATCCAGTTTCCAAGTGCGACCTGTGCCCCCGGGCCACCGGGTGGTTGATACCCCTGGATACCTCGCAGCTACACACCCCTGGTCTGGACCTTAGGGGCCCTGGTGTGTGTTTGTGTTTGGTGGTCTCCCCCTAAGAAGGTCGAACCGGGCTGCTGAGGTGAACGTCTCACCAAGGAGCTGAAGAACTACGCGCCGGCGGCGGCGCAGTGCGACATCCGGGTGCTCAAGAGCAAAGATCAGATCAGTTCCCCGGCCTCTGGGAGGGTGGTGCCGCGCGGTGCGTGTGTGAGAAAACACTCGGCCTCCAGGCCAGACCGTTGACCTGATCAGGTCAGGTGGTTGATCAGTCCAGACCAATTGATCGGTATATATGTCCCTCCCAAGCGAAAATGATTCAACTGCGATCTATTTCCCTTCTTCAGGGGGTTGTCCTGGATAGCATGTACACTCGCAAAACAAAGGATCCATGCGTACTCGCGTGGATGCAGTGGCCCCACATACAGACAACCATGAAATCTGAAGACCAAACAATGCCAAACAGGTGGTGGTTTTCCACGAAAGCATGATGATTTCAGGAAGTGTAGACTGTTGACATTTCAACCCCACATGGAAAGAGGTTAGAAGATGGCACAGAACCTGAACTGGAAGAAGATGGAAGTGGCTCTAGGAGGAGGACTTCGAAAAAGGTGGCTCCACTCTATTCAAGGGCGCAGTCGCCTAACAAGCGGGCCAGCAGCGGGTTCAGGGGGGCAAAGAGGTGAGACTTGTGGTTGTTGCGGTGGTTGTTGCTTTGACCAGAAACATAACTAGAAAACAAACGACATGACCATAATGCAAGGCAACTCAGGCTGCATCACTCGCACCTTGGGGCCATGGGGGTACCTTGGCCAGCAACGTACAAACAACACCATGTCTGTTGAGCAGCATGTTTGGCAAAACCATTGCAAAACACACACATGGTGGTTTTTTCCAAGGAACCTGACCCAACCTGCGCGTGCGTTGGTGCAGACGACGACGCCCCATGCCACATGTTGGTCCGCGCGGCCCCTCCGTCCGTTTGGAGCCTACTCCTCCCCTTCCAGGAGCCCCTAGTAGCTGTTTATTCCTGTAATACGGCCAGGAGCCCCGTTCGTAGCGTCCGATCGCTCCGTTCGAGTCGTAGCGATGCTTGTTTTGAATGTTCAGCTCCAAGGTGCTGTCTGGACGGGTGGCCAAGTCTTCGCCAGCTTGCGAGAGATGCAAGAGGAGCCCCACACACCTGGGAGACGACGCGCTCCGTCGCTGCGTGGGTCGCGAAAATGACTGGGACCTGTGGATGTTCAGCCACCGTCGCATGTTCGATAGAACGTTCCGGTTTCAATTCCAGGTTGAAGGACCCTAGTTCGACTAGTCCAGCCGGGTACCCCAGGTGACGGGTCCTATTTACGGTCACTTCACCTCCCTTGGAATTCCATCTGCATACCACGGCGATGGATGGAACCTGCTGGATGGAACGAAACCCCAAACTCCATGGCAGGTGAAGTAGATGTACACTCCGACTCACTAACATGGAAAACACCCTGTTCGTAAAAGGAAAGTACCAGCAGTCACAAAGGGGTGCGATCCATGGAGGTTAGGGGTGCCCATTATCCACTCACTTGGGGACTAAACACCACTTGACTCCTGGTAGTCTTCTCTTCGGAACCAGTAGTCTTCCTCTTCCATGTGATGTGAGTCAGTCAGAGTGTAAACTCATGCTGACTGCGCTTGGACCGGTGTCGTTGGATCTGGTGTCGTTGGACCGGTCACCATCGCTCCAAATCGCACACCCGGCTCAGCGGAGAAGGGATGGCCCCCTTCCTGAGAAAAGAAACTATTTCCTGGCTCCTTAATTGACAAAGCACAGCGGATTGATGCTGATTGATTGAGAGTTGAAGCCCAAATTGATTTCTTCAAAGAGTATGCATCCTTTTGAGCCTTCTACCTTGGGCAGGAAGGAGAGGACGGGGACTCCCCTTTTCGGGGCCCTTTTTCTTGTCTGTGCCATTTCACCCACCTTCATGTGTCTTGGTGTTGAGATGCTGAGTATTGCGATCTAGATTCTGGAGCCTCTCCGGGTTTTTGAGGGCTTATAGAAACAATGTTCGTTACTAGGAACAAGTGCATCGCTACTAATAACAAGTGCCTTACTACTAGGAACAAGAAGCTAGTAGAAACAATGTTTTCTCTTCTTGTTTGTTTGTTTAACAAACTGACCGGAGCCAACGAACTATCAGAGTGGCCGGGTTGGTTGACCATGCAGAGGACTTGCCATCCGGCTGGTGATGGTTCAAGGAATCCTGCCTGTTATTTGGACCAAGTCTTCCACCAAAGCAGCTTTCATGAGATTCCGCTTGAACTTGCTTTGCGGAGGACCTCTGGATGTCAATTGAGGACTACGACGAGCAGCTTGGATATGACTCGCAGCGGAAGTTCTGGAAACGCATCTTAAGATATTAGATATCTATATAGATATCTTCGAATGTATATATGACCCACCCCACTCAAGGAACAAGTGCTTGGGATTTCAGGCTGATGTTTACATGGTCCAAATCTCCACCATCACTTACCAGGACCTTCCAAGAGGTGTCTATACATTGCCTTTTAGAGGTGACTTGAGGTGTCCAAAAACCACCTGTTGGAGGGTGCTGGTACTTTGACCAAGTCATCCGTCATGTGGTCACGGGTCGACAAAGGCATGGTGCCAGTCTGATGCACGAAAAGGTGGTCCGGGAGCCGAGCGGGTTCCGCCACGCGGGACGCTGCGGGAAGCGGCCGCGGGTCCTCTCCGCGACGCGGGAGTGGACGGACGAAGGTTGGTCGGAATGCGCTGGAAAGATGGAGAGGGGACGATGGAAAGATGGGTCTTGGGGAGAAGACTCACCTTTCCCAGGACCCGACTCTATTCGGGGGGGCTATAAAGTTTAAAGAGCCTCGTAAAGAGGTTAGGGTTGGGAGTGTCCAAGAAGCCACCGGACTTGGAAGATTCTGGCCACGTCCTGTACCAGCACCCTTTCCTCGAAAAAGGTCTCCGGTGGCTTTTAGATTAAAGTGGCAGATGGTGACCTGTCAGTGAGGGTGCTGGTAGAGGAATGTTTGGTAAATTTTGGTCGATCCCTCAAATGAGTTGACCCAAGATGTGAAGGTCAATTGCTAGGAGGTCCCCAAGTTCAAGAGTGTGGAGGGTTCAGTCAGTAAGTGATACTGTACTCAGTACTCATTACTACTCATTTCAAGTGGGAGAGGGACTTCCCGATGTGGGAAATGCATGAATTCATGCATGTATTTCATGAGTGGAAGTGGATGGCATGGACCCTTGGATGACCATTTCCTCTACAAACACACGGTCTTTCACTTCCTGAACAAAACATCAGGGAGGCTACCAGTTGGACACTTTCCGTTCATATCCCCTGACCCTTCGAATCGACCAACCAGGTGGTCAAAGGTCATCACCAGACCTATAGTTGTGGTCAGCCCACCAGAGGAGTTCACCCGCCGGGTAGCACCGACCCCCAGTGCAAACCCTGCTGGGACACTTGAGACAGCTGCAGAGAATCCATGCATTTCCAGGAGTATTCCGGGGAGTAGCTTTCTATGGTACAGTGGTTTCAGAGTAGATGGCACAGACCTCAAGATGTCCTTTACATGGGGGTTCATATAAACCACCTCTTGGAGTCTGTGCCATCTACTCTCAATCCACTATATCAATTGGAAGCTATATCGAAGGGCTTCCAGAAGGACATACTGGTGTACCTCTACTGTATTCGTCTTCTCTGAAGAGAGGGTGGATCATCATCGATTGGCTTCTCGGTCGCTTCCCTCGAAGGGTCACTTCCTTTCAACGGATGCTGATACCTGCAGGGCTGAAGTGGACCCGGACCCAGGGGGCTTTCGATGTTTAAGCTTTTTAGGTTTCAATCGATGTTTAAGCGGTTCCAATGAGGTTCCTTTGACATCGATTAAGAGTCGGGGATGTCTGAAGTCGTTCCCGGGCGTGATCCCGAACCCTCTGGAGACCGGCTGTGAGTGTGTGGGTTTTAGCTGCTAGCTGTATGTCGATGGTCAATGGTTCAACCTCTCCCAGAACTTCCAACCGTGACTATTTTGTATCACCTGCCTTAAGAATCCGAACGGGCCTTCCATGGCCAGGGGTCGGACCGGACCTCCACCGTTTCAGGGGTCCGGACCCGAAACACACCGTCATATGGACCACACGGGGTCTTCCAATCCCAGGGATCCACATAGTCTGAGAAGGTGATGTGTTCGACACTGTCCACCTTCTGAGAAGGTACTTATCCGGATCCCTAGGGAACGAGTGAAACGAGTCATGACTGGCCCTCTGGAGAGGAGCTCGTTTGCTTCGATGTTTCAAGCAGCAAATCAAACTCGTAGCGTTTGGGAACGGTTCGGCCAGCAGATTTATAACAATGTTCGCTATGAACGGGGCGAACGTGGCATCGAGTCCCGAGTCCGGTTCGCGATCGGACGGCTTCGCTCCGGGGCTGGCCGTACAAGCGAAGGGAGCGAGGTTCGCTACTAGTCCAAAGAATCCGGGACCTCAAATGTGAAGGCGGAAACGGGTCCAGACTCTCCCCAAACCACAAAGATCGGTGGTCCAGTCCGACCCCTGGGTGTTGGGCCCGGACTTGGAGTCTTAGGTATAGTTATATAATATATACAGTCTAATATTGGTTGTTTGGGATGAAACACCCATTCAATCAATGGAATCCTCGAAACCCTGCCTCAAGAGCGCCCCGCGAGGCCGTGAAATACAGCTGAGCGTGCTGCCTGGATGACATTGTTTCCTTTTTTTCGTGGACGAGGCGGATCGGCGCGCGAAACGCGTTCGGGAAAAGCTCGCGAAGCTCCGAAGCTCACCTCCTTCTTCTTCTTCTTCTTCAGGTGCTGAACCGGAGCCACACAACGAGATCGTCTTAGCGATTGGAACTTACACACTTGAAAAGCAGGTCAACCCTGTTTAAAGCGGTCTTGGAAGGCTAGGGTGATTCTTTCATGGAGTGTAAGGCTTCAGGTTTGTCGTTCTCCACGCATCAGAGCCTTCAGCACTTGACCAGGCCTCCCCATCACATGGTGTATGGGGCCTTCACCGATGTGAGTGGTGGGCCAGGGTTCCTTTCATCAGCACGAGAGCTGAACATATTCCAGAGCTTACTAGTAACAAGTGCCACGCTAGTAGTAACACGTGCCTTACTAGTAGTAACAAGAAGCTATTAGAAACAATAAGCTAACTGAACATGCTTCAGGTGGAAGAAGTTCTGATGACGATCCTGTACGCGAAGGCAGGTCGACTGGGCAGGTCGACTGATGGTCATGGTTGTGTGAGGAGGTGGCTGTTTTGGCCACCATTCACATGGGAGTTTGTGGGCAAAAGCAATGGACTTCAAGGTCCACTAGTCAACTGGTCGACCTTTGTCACCAAAAGAGGAGGGAAAAGCGGTTCGCACGTGGGAACCACTACAGCCATGCCGGACTCGTCCCAGACGTTCCCTGGAGATGACCTCGACAGCTCCTCCCCAAACCTGCCTAGTCAGTGGACAACCTGCCCAACACTCTTCAACCTTTCTTTATGGTTTGGTTTCCGCAATAAACAGGATCAATATGATTCACCTGTTGTTTTCCAGGGGAAAGGCTCGGAACTTCGAAAGAAAGGACAAAACCATGAAAGAGCTGGTCGTCTTCGACTGCGCCTAGCAAAAAGAATCCCAGAAGCTGACCACTGCTCCGCTTCCGCCTGCCTTCCGCCTTGCGTCCGCACGTGCGTTTTCCGTGCTGCCACATGTGCAGTGACCTGTCCCCCCACTTCTGCCTTTTGGATTGTGTTGAATTGCGTTGGTCCGCTGCATGGTCGATTGCGTTGGCACACGCCGCGTGATGAGAAGGATTTTTATTGACCTTCCAGTGGAGGTCGCGGAAATCGCCATGTGGACTGACTAGCCAGGCCTGAGAGGCGTATTTCTTGGTGAGCATGGCATGCGTGAGTTGTTTCTGGCAATTTGTGAAGAGGCCCCCCTCGACAAGCACGAGGTCCGGAAGCTCATATTCAAGTTTCATCATACATCTTGAAAAGCGTGGACAAGGGATGACCATGGGGCCCAACCATTTTGAGACACAAATGGGACAACGGACCCTTCTCTTTGCTCCTCCCTTTCTGTTGGAGACGTCGGTTGGTGCTTCGACTGCTGTGCGACCGCTTCGGTCTGGACCGTCTCCGGGACTGCTGAAGGTCGGAGATCAGATCCACAGGTCGTTGTGGGAAGTCTCGTCTCGTCTGTCGAGGACCCTCCGAACGGAGGTGGACTAGGACTAGCCTCGGAGATTGAGGGGGAGTTTAAGGGGTGTCCACCAACCACCTGCTGGACGATTTGGGGTGCGAAGGTTTGAGGTGTTCAGGAAACTCTGGGTCACTCGGATCGTCTAAAGACCATTCTGAAAATGGTCGACTGGACTCTCTGGACTCTTGTAGATTCATCTTTGGGCCTCTACAGCCAGGGCCTGGCATCGACTTGAGGGCTGCATAAGATTCCAGGTTTTGACCTCTTTTCCGTATGAAAAGCGCATGACGATGGTTGGGGGTACTCAAACACATCCTCATACCAGCATCCTCCAAGCCTGGTGGTTTTTGGTCACCCCGAATCACCTCAGTTGAATCAGCCTTCCACTTCTTCAGCTGGGCAGCTGGACCTTTCCAGTTCTCAAGACGTCAGCACTCCTGAGTGCCGGCGTCCAAACCGGCCCAAGCCGGACTCCGTCCGACCTGCCGAACGGTCACGGTGTGTGTCGAAAGACCTGGCTGGGACTCACCCGCACTCACCGAATTCATACCAGGACCACCCGGACTCTGGGTATCTTGGCTGGACTACACTTCAGGATCGACACCCAAACACACCCAGACAGGATGGTACAGGGTACGTTTCTATGCACTGCTTGATTTGCTTTGATTCTTGTTGAACCTTCGGAAGCGTGGAGTCGAGCGCAGGATGAGCCAAGCCCAACAGCAGAGGTCTGTGCCGTGCCCTTCGGCCGATCTGAAGAAACTAAGCCAAGCCAAGCGCCTCTGAGATCGCTCCGTGAACATGTCGATGGCGCCCGGCGCCTGGCGCCCGGCGCGCCGAAATCCATGGCCCGGCGCTTTGGCGCCTGCCTGGCTGTTTGAGAGCTCCCTTTCGGCCGCCCCCAGCAAATCTGGTCGCGTTTGGCACACCAAATCCCCAAGGAACCATGCGCTTTGCTCCGTTCGTAGCATCCTTGCTCCGTTCGCAGAACTCAGTCCTGCCCAGGCTGCCAATGACTGACCCTTGGGGCACTACGCCGTGACCGCTGTGCCCCAAAAAGAGCACACCCAGACGCGGTGCATGTGCGGTGCCGTGCCGCTCATGCGTGCGCGGAGCGTCGAATCTGCGCCGGGCAAGGAGCTGGTTGTGGATAGAAGAGAGTTCAGGGTTCAAGAGAGCCAGGAAGATCTGATCTTCAGCCTGTAGATGTGGATTGAAGAGAGCTAAGGAGTTCTGACAGGATAAGACTACTCGAGATTTTCGGTTTTGTTTGGGGGGCTTTCTTCCTAGTGGTTTCAGGTCCGAGTCTGTTTGAGGCTGCCTGTCACAGTTCTTCATCATATGGTGAGATGCTCATATGAATGATGCAGCACTTTTCTATTGTGGTTTTGTGGGCTGCCAGGGCACAATCAAACTCCAATAAGAATCTACAGAATCTGTCATTTCCATCTATTCAGACCTACTCTGACTCACTAGCATGGAAGTGCAAAATGGTCCCTTGGAAGACTACTTTCCTTTACGAACAGGTTTTTTTCCACATTCATGTTAGTGAGTCGGAATGTATTTCATCTGGCGATTCTGTTGAAATTGTCGCCCGTTTCATTCCTTCTCTCCAGAGTTTCCAAACCCACGGCTCCTTGGAGCCTGCATGACCACGATGGGATGCATCAGCTGAATTCTTACTTACTGTATGGCTGTGGGTCATGGTACCTGGCCCGGATCCGGGTGGGTTGACATATGTTGACATCCCGAAGATCGAGGAATCTGTTCATTTGATCCGCGGTCAACCAGGGCTACGGGTGAATGTTGACCCACAGCCAAATGTAATATATATAAATAAGGAGATTTGCTTGTATTCAGGTGTCATCCGCTGACATTCAGGTCCTAAGATCTTTAGGACCACAAGCCCCAACACCTGACTGAGTGCTGTAGTGCTCGACCGCTTGCCTTTTTCTCAACTTGGCCCGGATCCTTGCGGAAACCGACAGGACGCAGGCAGGCCGCCATCTCGTGCAGTGAGTACAGTGCAATCGAAAGTCCAACAAATGAATACCTCCAGGTTATGGTGCTCTTCCCAATTTCTCAAGTGCGTTGCCTGGTCTGATTCCCAGTGTTTGAGGGACATGTCAAACCTGGCTGTTCACGGTTTGAAAGATGACATTGGTTCAGTGACACTGGACCCATTTTTGGCTGCCATTTTTGGTCAGAGGTACCAAACATGTGACAGTCAGCATTTTTGTGGAAGGTCAGTTGAACAATTCAATCTGCTTGGGATGGTTGGTGGGAATGAATGGGATAAGGATGGCTTGACAGGATTTGTTTTTGGCATGTCATCATCCATCAACACCCCTTGACAAGATTTGTTTTTGGAGCAGTGCTGTTGCTACGCCATGTCAGACAAGCGGCGAGCATTCCTTAAATCCTTGTCACCTGCAAAGCCTCCTGCAACACCTGGTCCTACCAACCAGCCGGAAGTTGGAAGTTTGGTTGGGCAGCCAAGTGCTAGGAGGGAGCAGGGTGCTAGCAGCACGCCCAGTGCAGAAGAGGTTTCTGCTAGGAAGAGGTACATCTCCAAGCTGTCCTGTCCTGTGACATCGGGGCAGCCAGATCCTGACTCTGATCCCGGTCCGCGAGATACACCAGGAAAGGGAGATGTAGGAAAGGGAGATGTAGCAGCAGTGGCGTTTACCTTGGAAGGCTTGCTGGCATTTCGGGACACAGCGTCTGGAATAATGTTCGGCAAGACTGCCGCAGAATCTCGAGCGCCAGCACGCAAGCGTCCAAACTACAACGGCACCAACCGAAGGTTGCTAGCAAAGATGACTGACAGAGTTCGGTTTCTTTACTCAATTAGTTGATGCTTTTTGGTGATATATGGTATCACATTTTCCTATCAGACTCTTTGCAGGCCTATTAGTCAGGCCTCAGCATTTAGTGGCTCCTCACACCGCTAAGGTGGGGGCAACATGGAGCTGATTCCCTCCGGCTGGACCGATTGAGAGCCCAAGAGAAATGCAGATGCCACAGGGCAAACTGCTACAAAGTGCTAGATGTACTGAAGAATTCTTTGCTACAGTTCTTGAAGATCTTTTGGTCCCTGAGCAAGCACGTGCAGGATGAGTACCTGAGAACTGTAACAGGTGGACTGGACAAACAGGCCCAGCGTCGGTCCTGGCTTCTGATGGGCAAGTGCATTGGGCCCAAGTGCTGCCTGGCAGTTTTGGGAGTCGGAAATTGCAGGATGGTCAGAGTTGAACAAGGGAAGTTCGATCGCAGGTTCGCTGTTTGGGGAAAAGCATCTTGCTAGAGACTGAGCAGTTTCTTTTGTATTTCCCTTGTATCTTTACCAGGCTCTGATTTTGTCGGGTTTGAATGTCAGCTGCTTTTGGGTGTGAAGCATGTGCTAGCTTTGATGTGGCTTAGGCAAAGGCAAAAACTGCGGTGAAAAGTCGGCTGGTCAACCAATTCCTCCTCAGTGTTTACATCAAGAGTGCTGGAATGCTTCCAGATAAGCCCCTTGGTAAAGTCATAATGTATGGTGAAGAAAGAATCAATGAAGTGCAACTCAGCAAATTGCCGGGTTTTCAAACAGAGCTGATTGTTGATTTAATGTTGAGGTTTTGCAGGTCGGGCCGCCCAAGAAAGATGTCGACACAGACAGAGAAGTTGACAATTGTCCTGCAAGATGACAATCCTACGGTGTCTGGTGATGAATGTATTTTGGAGAAATGATGGGATACTCCATTCAAAGTGTTGTGTCTAAAAAATGTATTGCTCACAGAACATGCATACGATTGGGACAAAGCTCCGAGGCAGCTCAGATGCTGGAACAGATACAGAGCTCCAGGTTCGGGCTGAGAGTATCGAGTCCGACGAAGAGCTGCGGCTGCACTTGCTGGGGATGAGCTCCTTCTTCTCCCAGCTGGTTGCTTAGGATTACCGCCACCCAGTTGCTATCCAAAAGCAGTGTGAACATGTAGCCAGTCTTTGCAATAGCCTACAGCTGAAATATGCAAAGTTGCTTTCTATTCAAATTTCAGCTTGGAACTTGATCTGGTCAGGGCAATTGAAACGAATTTCAGCAGAACAGTACAATCACTCCCCACCAGATGGCTTCCTCCGGGTAACATCCGGATGCTCTATCAACAATGGGGCAGGGCAGATGTATCGTACTTTAACCGCAGGATGTGAGCAGCAACATTGTAAACAAAAATGTGTCTTTGTACCTGCTTCTTGCCAACGCCCAATACCAAGGTATGCATTGTTCTGGCAAACATACGACAAAACCTGGCGGCCAATACTTAAGTTTTTGGCCCCAACGACGCACGGCGCGTGCGATGATTGCATGGACTTCAAGGAGCTTTTCCGAACCACTGCTGTGCTTTGGCTATCAGCTATCATTTTGTTCCAGTGGCTGGCTTTGATGTGCTTGCGCATGACCATGAAAGGTGGGTGAATTGCAGAGACGATTCGATATAGCAAAAGAGTACAAGAATCACATCGACCAGATTGGTGAAGACCGGGCTCTTGAGGATTACTTGCAGGACATGGTTCAGGGTTCCACATGGTTCTACAAAGTGAGAGTTTTTTGAATTCCAAGCAATTGAGTCCATGCTGGCTTTGCGTACAGAGCTTGCAGTTTGCAGCAAGGCCCAGAATCCCTTGGCTAATGCCGGTGATGCTCTTTGCATCCATGTTGTGCCTGGTCCTTTATGTATTGATGACGATGATGATGTCCTTTGCTCATTGCAAGACATTTGGCCTCCCGATGCAGTTCTTGTGGCATATGATCTAATCCTAAGGACGGCATGGACCAAGCCAAATGGTGCATACCTAGAAACCGGCACCTAAAAATTAGCAAGTCCGAGATGCCCTTGCAGAAACCACGCTTCAAGATACAGGGCGTGTGGAATTTTGGATTTGATTAAACGTGGCAAGTTTTCACCGAAGGACAAATTGCTTGTCAATTGATTGAATGGTGGTATATATTTGTGCTACAATTTGTTGCAGAACATGAGGCTTCATAACATCACGCTCTTCTTGTTCATCTTGAGCCCCCGGTGCGCCGGGGATGCAAGCATGGTCATCGAGACCACTATGCAGTCAGTTGAGCACGCGATGGAACGGTGCAGGCGGCTTGGGGTGCCTGAGCCCAAAGAGCTCTTGCTCTGGGAGCCTCGAATGCATTTAATGTATTTTTGGGTTCACGACGACCGCCTGAAATCAAGTTGTTGGAGAGGAGCAGTTGCACTAGAGCCAAAATATCCTCGTCAAAGCACCATTGCTCAGAACCCAGGCCGATAATTGTGTGAGAGAGACAAAGAACCAGTGGTGCATGAAGATGGCCGCCATGCTGATTTCTAGGGGAAAATTCCGATTGGCCGCCCTCCTGTTCGGGAGGGTGGGCCACACTCACGGTTCTTTGGGTGCCCTAGATTGAACATTGGAGTTTCCCTTTGTATTGACGGCATTGAAGAAGAGTTTTGAGTGATTGGCAGTGGTTCATTTGATATGGTTCAGAGTCAGAGTAACTGGAAAACTGAGATCAACTCTTCGGCCTCATTGCCACCGCAATGAAGTATGTAGATATTGTATGTGATGAGGTTGACTTGACTGAGAGACTTGGCTGGCGTCGATTTCAATGATATGTTATTTAGTTAAATTGAAACACCCCCTAGATCATTCCTGTTTTTGGAGAAGCACTGACAAAGCAGCGGCCTTTCTTCGCATCGTTTAACAGCTTTATCTTTACAGCACGTATTGCAGGAAATTGCAATGGGTGCTCGAGAAGATCGGAATCCGCTCCTGGGTGGGACCAGACTGCGAAATCAAGGTGCAGTACATCGACTCCATCAGGTCTTGGAAGGGATGGCTTCAATCTGCTCCATGTACGTATTCAGGCGGTTTCAAGGAGGATGCTTCGGGATTGCATGCATTCATCATGATGAGACGATCAGGTTCAGTGCTTCCAAACTTGTCGGCTTTTGGAGCCTAATTAAACACCGTTTTGCAGTGGGGTTCTGGCGCGCATGTAATTGTTTGTTCACTTAGCTTGGA